ACGGTGACAGACTTTATTTTCTTGGACTCCAAAATCACTGCAGATTGTGACTGTAGCCATGAAGTTAAAAGATGCTTGTTCCTTGGAAGAAAAGCTGTGATAAACCTAGACAGTATATTAAAAAGAACAGACATTACTTTGCCGACAGAGGTCCATCTAGTCAAGGCTATGGCTTTTCCAGTAGTCATGTATGGATGTGAGAGTTGGACTATAAAGAAAGCTGAGCACAGAAGAATTGATGCTTTTGAACTGTGGTGTTGGAGAAGACTCTTGAGAGTCCCTTGGGCTGCAAAGGGATCCAACCAGTCCATCCTAAAGGAGATCAGTCTTGAATATTCTTTGGAAGAACTGATGCTGAAGCTGAAACTTAAAGACTTTGGCCACCTGATACGAAGAACTGAATCATTGGAAAAGAACCTGATTCTGGGAAAGATTGAAGGCAGGAGGAGAAGGGGATGACAGAAGATGAGATGGTTGGATGGCATCACTGACTGGATGGATGTAAGTTTGACCAAGCTCCAAGAAGTGGTGATGGACAGGAAAGCCTGGCATGGTGCAGTCAATGGGGTCACAAAAGAGTCAGATTCGACTGAGCAACTGAACTGATCCAGAGTGTAAAGTCATTGCTCCGTTTATATGATCTTCATTTAAGTAGAAATACAGTTGATTTACAATGTCATATTAATCTCAGGTGTACAGCAGAGTGATTGAGTATCTATCGATCATCTTTCTATCTATTCTTCTTCAGATTCCTTTCCCTGTGGTAAAGAATAGATTATTACAAGATATTGAATACAGTATACAAGATAGATGATACAGCATACAATACATAAAATACAATATGCAAGATATTGAATCCAGTTCCTAGGACTGTACAGCAGGTTATTTTTTAACTTTTTATTTTGTATTGGTATATAGCTGATTAACAATGTTGTGATAGTTTCTGGTGAACAGCCAAGGGACTCAGTGATAGATATCCATGTATCCATTCTCCCCCAAACTCACCTCCTCTCCATGCTGCATAACATTGAGCAGAGTTCCACAGATCCTTATTAATTATCTGTTTTATTAATATATTAATATGTAGTACTATATGTATCAATCTCAAACTCCTGATTTATCTCTCCCCCTGCATTTCCCCTTTGCCAACCATAAATTTGTCTTCTATGTCTGTGAGTCTGTTTGTAAATGAGTTCATTTGTATCTTTTTTCACATTCTGCCTATAAGTGATATATGGTATTTGTCCAGAATTATCATGTTACCTGGCTTGCTTTAGCTGTTTGCTGGATGTGCTTTCCTATTACTTGTGTGATGTAGACACCTAGAATGCTATCAGGTTATCAGATTATAGGACTTTGATGCTTAACAAGCATTTGCAGAATGAACTAATACATCTATAGGTTGTTTCTAAATGCAGCATTTCTAAATATGAAAAGTGAAAGTTCATATGTAAGCAGGACACATTTTGGAATATTCTATGAGAGAATTTCAATTTTTCCAAAGCATGAGTAAAGTATTGCCCCCCGCCATATTATGCATTTTACTAACTTTTACATGTCTGTGAATGTAGAATATTAAAATATACTTGTTTTCTAATCCTTTTGTTCTTTGTATAGTACTTGGGACAGGGTTTCAGGTCAAAGGTCTCATGACATCATTTGCCCATAGATTTAATGTCTTTTTCAGGTTAGTGATTCTTCAGTGGATACAAGCAGTTATTAAATCCTGATGGTATCTTTAATAGGCATAACAGTATTTTATAATATTTAGTGGTTTAATACATTATATTGGTATTAAAAATGTCATATGTGTAGCATATTTATTCTGTAATTATAGCATGCATGGTCAGTAGCTCAGTCGTGTCTGATTTTGCGACCCCATGGACTGCAGCCCACTGGGGTCCTCTGTCCATGGGATTTTCTAGGCAAGAATACTGGAATGGGTTGCCTTTTCTGACTCCAATCATGGCACAGAGGGATGAATTACAGATAATTATATACACTTGTATAGAATATGTGTGATTGTATCAGTGCTTTCAAATGAATCTGTAAGCCCATGTGAAAATGCAACCATGAAAATATCTGTAACTAAACTTTTGTTTGTAAAGTCAATCAGATCAGACTCTGTGTTTTCCTAAACTGTGGTATAATGGAATGATCACAAGACTAAGGGTCAGAAAATCAGGTTTCTCATCTAGCTTCCAGCCTAATGAGGGGGATACCGAAGAAGTCATTGTTCCCACTAGAATGTAAGCTCCATCGCGCAGAGGTCAGAGTCAGTTGCATTCATTTCTGTATCACCAGCATGCAGAAAAGGTGAGGACCAGTTCAAGTGCTGGACAGTTACTTGTTGCATGAATTATACTTCTCTTTTGTACAGTTTCCACAACTGTAAAATTCTGATCCTTCCAACCCTTACATTCCAGATAATATGAGAGCCCTTTGAATATAAATCAGACAGATTCAGAGCTAGAATTGCTTATCCAGCTGTTTCCTGGGCCTTTATATGGTTGTATAGTGAGTGCTTCAAAACTTGGTTGAATATTTCTTAACATGAGTAAGACAAGATATCGGCCCATGACTTTAATCTTTAGAAGGCTTAATACAAAAACTCTACAAATATATTACTCAAATACACAAAATTAAATAAGTATAAAAGAAAGTCCAATAACCGATCTCATACATGATGTTTTTGCAAAGTGTGTAACACTTAAACATTTATTTGGAAGCTGTGATGGTTTAAAACTGCTGTAAGGATTTGAGGACACCCTGTAGACATACCCCTCTTTGAGAAAACTTGAAAAATACAAATTGATAAATAACTCTTAAATGTTTTCTTTTCATTCATCAAACACATATATCACTACAAGCACTGTAGCAGGTGTTAGGAGAGTCAGGAGAAGCCAGGCTCTGATAGTACCTCCGTCATCTGGACAGCCAGGCACACACAGCCTCCTGGCCGGAGTCGACATCAGAACTGGAATGCCACAGAGGAAACCTATGGACTGGGGGCTGTTACCAGACCACTATCACTCACAGCCTCCAGGACCAACCCAGCTTTGGGGGCCACTGTCCAGTCCCCTAACATCCTCCAGACCAATGTTTGATGAGACCCTGACCCCTTTTTTATAAAACTGCTGCTCTGCTCCATCAATCTCCATCCCTTCTCTTGCCTGTTTTTATCCATAACAGTTATTACCAGACCTGTTACATATTTGTTGACTTGTTAATTGCCTTTCTTGTGTATACATACATGTATGTAAGCTCCATGATGACAGGAAATTTGTCATTTGGCAGTGTTTACCCAGAACCTAGAACAGTATGGGACACCTGGTTGGTATTTAGTAAATATTTTTTGAATGGAGGGTTGGATGGAGGAAGGGATGGAAAGAGGGAGGGAGGGATAAATGGATGGGTGGAAGGATAGATGGAAGAATGAAGGAAAGATGGTTGGAAGGAGGGAAGGATGAATGGATAGAATAAAGGATGGAAGCATAGATGTATGGATGGGGCTAGGGATGGATGGATGCATGCATGGAAGGATGGAGGGAAGGAAGGATGGATGGATAAAAGGATGGATGGATGTATAGAAAGAAGGATGGATGGATGGAGGAATGGATGGATAAATGAATGGATGAAAGTATAGATGGATGAATAAAACAAAGGGTGAATGGATGGAAGGAATGCTGACTGAGTGGATAGATGAACACCTTAATGAAAAGATCCTTGTGGCTGATCCTCTTAACCATTTCTCTCTAGTTCCCAGCATCCTCCCCTCCATTTACATATAAAGTTTGCTTTCATTATTCTAGCTATGAACCTCATTATTTTCAGTAGAATTTGGTGTTCTACCCCCGTTTATTTCCTCGGGTTGCCTGGGGTAAACATTGTCAGGATTCTGGCTGGCTCACTTGGGTAACATGGTGTGGGGGCTTACCCCTTGCCCTCAGGTGTGTGGTGCTGATAGGCATGCAGAGATGAAATGGTGCTTTACATGGTGACTTCATACAGGATCGACATCTAAAGAGGAGCCACAGACACACGTAAACACCCAAACTAAGCTAAATGGCAGCTATCATGGCCATAGGTGAAGTCCCTGCCTTGAGCCCAGTGGGTGAGACAGAAATCAGAGGGAGCACAGGTGGGGAATCTAGGGCCATAGGTGGGGAAGGAGCGCAGGTGGGGAATCTAGGGCCATAGGTGGGGAAGGAGCGCAGGTGGGGAATCTAGGGCCATAGGTGGGAAAAGAGATGCATCCACATGATAGTTGGTAGGAGCACAAATTGCTTTGTAGAGGACAAGTTAGAAACAATAAGATGAAACAGATTCCTACCCTTTCACTAGCATTTCAACCTCTAAAAATGTATCCTGTGAAAGCCCCTCTAACAAGTGGAAATGTCACCAGTAATGAGCCCTATGTGGGCAACCTCTGTGCCACCTCAGATGAGATCCTATATGCTAAAGTGTTACAGAAAACATTGAATAAAATGCTCTTGTTGTTGTTCTTTTTTTTCTTTTATGAGGATTGTGGATAGCTTGCTGTACCAAAACAGTGGCATTTTCCATGCTGGGTTCCAAGTTCTTCTTCTGTAGAGGACGTTCCCAGTCATTCAAATCTGTCTCCATGCAGTTGGAACTTTCCAGATTAGAAGAAACCTGTTAGCTTTCACAGAACAGTTCAGTGCAAAATCCAGTTTCCACTGAAGCTGACGACTTGAGCAGCCATAATGCAGGGATGCATTTTGGCTCACTGGGAGTCAGGTGGTCTCTGAAACCGGGCGGTGGTCTGCCTTCTACTGCTGCCTCCTTAGCCAGAGCATCCTGTAGCAAAGAGATTAATTCATCAGGGTATTTTCTTAGACATTATTTTTGTGAGTAAAACTTGAATTATATGCATAATTAACTATTGTACTTGCAGAATCGATATCCAGGGGAACTGTCTGGGGAAAGAAAAAAAAAAAAAGCAACAACTTAGAGTTGCTTTTACTCTCTCCTGCCAGAGTCAGGCCACAAGAAGTTGAAAAGCACCATCCAGAGAAGCACAGAGACGGGAATGGCAGCTGAGATGAGGAAGATGGTGAGGCAGCCAAGCCGGGAGTCCACAGATGGCAGCATCAACAGCTACAGCTCCGAGGGAAAGTAAGTGGGTCAGCGCGGCACCTGGACTAGAGCTGAGGGTCCCGAGTCACAGGAAGGGTAACAAGGCCCCCAGGTCATCCTGCAGTTGCTTTGTACAACCGGGAGTTCAACCATCCACTTAAAAACAGCCTGACTTCTCAGGATACAGACAGACACACCCCTGCCCCTGGTCACTCAGACCTCTCAAAGGGATGAGGAAGTGGCGGCTTAACATGAATAAACTGATTTTTTGTTATCCAGAAAGGCTCAGAAAAGCCCATGACCAGAGGCTTATGGTAGAAATGCCACATTTAATGGCTTCTTTCAGATGGGAATTTCATTGTCTGACCCATTTGCCAAAATCTGAATTAGAATATAGACAAATGAAACTAATTGTCCATATTCTTGCTTTTCTCCAAACTATTTTGGGATTCAAGTTGTTGGAAGTCCAGCATTCTTATAATAGCAACTTATTTTTCCTATTTTTAAAACATCACGATTTCATTTTCACCTTAGGAAAAATGCCCAGGATCTACCTACTTAGTTATTTTTCTGATGAAAGAGTTTTCATTAATCTTGAAATTAATTAATTTGGGAAAAAATATAACTAGATTTTTGTTTACTTAGTGTGATTTTTTTACACAAAATCTGCATTTTTCTTATGCTTGAGAATTTTCCTGGTGAAACTGAAATAATGGTTTTAATGGTTGATAGTTTGATGGTTGACAGGTTACTGAAGTGATAAATCTTACAAATAATTAAGTATTATCCTGCAATGGGTTACTTGGGGATTGACCATGTACAAGTTTTCCATAATTATGTATTACCATGCAAATATCTTTTACCCATTCATTATTAATAATTTATTTTATTTTATTGGCATTTTTAATTTGGTTCAGAAAATAAAATAAATTTTGCCAAGTTAATGTTCATGATATGGTTTCCCATTCCTGAAAGTAGTGACTCCCTCTATTTGTTCCAATGATGGGTATGCATTCTCCCAGCAAGATACAGACAGGAATAAAAAGCAGAAGGCATGAATTTATGGAGTTAAGTTTGCTGACATAATACCAATATTTGTAGAAGTATTATAAAGCAATGAGCAAATAAAAAACTGGAGGCACTATTTTCTGACATAAAAATCAACAAGTGTAGATTGGGATTAACATATACATACTACTATATGTATATATATATATATAATCATTAGCTAATAGGAACCTACTGTATAGCACAAGGAGCTCTTCTAAATTCTCTATAATGGCCTATAGGGGAAAAGGACCTAAAAGAGGGTGGACATATGCATGTATCCAGATACATATAACTGATTCACTTTGCTGTATTGCAGAAAGTAATACAGCATTGTAAATCAACTATACTCGAATAAAATTTTTTTAAAAATTGACAAACCTAGTCATACTTCCACCATGGATAAGGCACTTAACGTCTCACAGATTTATTTTATGGTCTCTGAATAGAATAATAATTGATGCCCTAATTCCTTTGATTTTGAAAAAATAATATGCATGAAAGCACATGGTTGTTGTTCAGTCGCTCAGTCGAGTTTAACTGTTTGCGACCCCACGGACTGCAGCGTGCCAGGTTTGCCTGTCCTTCACTACCACATTGGAAACAATCAACGCTTGTAGAAAACTGTTTATTCCAAAAAATTACTTATTGAAGTTAAACTATGTAAACAGCCTGGTTCTTGTTACCCTGGCTGCTGCTGCTGCTGCTAAGTCGCTTCAGTCGTGTCCGACTCCGTGTGACTCCATAGACGACAGCCCACCAGGCTCCCCCGTCCCTGGGATTCTTCAGGCGAGAACACTGGAGTGGGTTGGCATTTCCTTCTCCAATGCATGAAAGTGAAAAGTGAAAGTGAATTCGCTCAGTCATGTCCGACTCCTAGTGACCCCATGGACTGCAGCCTACCAGGCTCCTCTGTCCATGGGATTTTCCAGGAAAGAGTACTGGAGTGGGTTTGTTACCCTGGAGACATCAGTTAGCAAGAGCACAGTCCCTGCTCTGGGTAAAGATACAGCCTGGGGTTTCAGGCAGGCATGGTGAGAAACAGACAAACTTCAACCAACTTACTTCCATTTAATTTAAATACAAATCTCATATAATATGACATTTTAATTCATTCAAAATGTTAATTCATTCAGAACTGAATAAATTAAGCATTTTGATTTGTAAATAAGAATCTGTTTTCAAATAATATTTATTCAATATTACAAACTAGAGATACCAAGAGAACATTTCATGCAAAGATGGACACAATAGAGGACAGGAATGGTATGGACCTAACAGAAGCAGAAGATATTAAGAAGAGGTGGCAAGAATACACAGGAGATCTATACGAAAAAGATCTTCATGACCCAGATAACCATGATGCTGTGATCACTCACCTAGAGTCATATCCTGGGATGTGAAGTTAAGTGGGTGTTAGGAAGCATCACTGTCAACAAAGCTAGTGGAGGTGATAGAATTTCAGTTGAGCTACTTCAGATCTGAAAAGATGATGCTGTAAAAGTGCTACACTCAAATTTCCAAAATTTGGAAAACTCAGCAGTGGCCCCAGGACAGGAAAAAGTCAGTTTTCATTCCAATTCCAAAGAAAGGCAATGCCAAAGAATGTTCAAACTACCTCACAATTGCACACATCTCACAGACTAGCAAAGTAATGCTCAAAATGCTCCAAGCCAGGCTTCAACAGTAGGTGAACTTTCAGATGTTCAAGCTGGATTTAGAAAATTCAGAGGAACGAGAGATCAAATTGACAACATCTGTTGGATCATCAAAAAAGCAAGAGAGTTCCAGAAAAATATCTACTTCTACTTTATTGACTACACCAAAGTCTTTGACTGTGTGAATCACGATAAACTGTGGAAGATTATTCAAGAGATGGGAATACTCGACCACCTTACTTTCCTCCTGAGAAATCTGTATGCAAATCAAGAAGCAACAGTTACAACTGGATATGGAACAACAGACTGTTTCCAGATCAGGAAAGGAGTCCGTCAAGGCTGTATATTGTCACCTTGCTTATTTAACTTCTATTAAATATTCTTATTTAACTTCACAGAGTACATCCTGTGAAATGCCCAGCTGGATGAAGCACAAGCTGGAATCAAGATTTCTGGGAAAAAATATCAATAACCTCAGATACTCAGATGACACCATCCTTATAGCAGAAAGCAAAGAGGAACTAAAGAGCCTCTTGATGAAAGTGAAAGAGAGTGAAAATGTTGGCTTAAATCTCAACATGCTGAAAACTAAGATATGCATCTGGTCCTATCATTTCATGGCAAATTGATGGGGAAACAATGAAAACAGTGAGAGATTTTATTCTGGGGGACTCCACAATCACTGCAGATGGTGAGTGCAGCCATGAAATTAAAAGATGCTTGCTCCTTGGAAGAAAAGCTATGACCAACCTAGACAGCATATTAAAAAGCAGACATTACTTTGACAACAAAGGTCCATCTAGTCAAAGCTATGGTTTTTGCAGTAATCATGTATGGATGTGATAGTTGGGCTGTAAAGAAAGCTGAAGGCGGAAGAATTGATGCTTTTAAACTGTGATGCTGGAGAACACTCTTGAGAGTCCCTTGGCTGCAAAGTCAATCTTCATGGAAATCAGTCCTAATATTCATTGGAAGGACTGATGCTGATGCTGAAATTCTAATACTTAGACCAGCTGATGCAAAGAACTGACTCCTTGGAAAAGACCCTGATGCTCGGAAAGACTGAAGGTGGGAGGAGAAGGGGACAACAGAAGATGAGATGGTTGGATGGCATCACTGACTCAATGGACGTGAGTTTGAGCAAACCCTGAGAGTTGGTAATGGACACGGAGGCCTGGCGTGCTGTAGTCTATTGGGTCGCAAAGAGTCAGACACAACTGAGTGACTGAACTGAATATTTCAAATAATATCTATTCAAGAAATTATTAAATGTTTCTTAAAATTTAGCATTTTATTGTTACTTCATGCTCATGAGCAATTATTTAAGTAGGTCATGACATAAAATATCACATCTTATATCTTATGTTAGTCATACATTTATGTAGGGATTTGTATTGTAAAATGTGCCAAAAACTTACTGCATTAAAAACTTTAACTAAGCCCTCCTCAGCATGTCTTTTTTAAAACTTTTCTATTTTATATTGGAGTATAGTTGATTAACAATGTTGTGTTAGTTTCAGGTGAACAGAAGGGAGGGATGTACTGGGAGTTCAGGATTGACATGTACACACTGCTGTATTTAAAGTGGATAACCAGGAGAGGGAGGTTCCCTCGCACGGCAGGACCGCATTCACCTTGGGGACCCTCCCCCCCCAAAAATAAAATAAAGTGGATAATCAACAAGGACCTACTGTGTAGCCAAGGGAACTCTGATGAATATTCTGTAAATTGATAGGCTAGACCTTTTCTCATTCAGCACTGAGCCTCATATGCTTGGTTCAGTGGAAATGCAAAGAATCAGTAAGTAAACCAGTTACCCAAACACTGTTTGATTCATGTTCAGAACGATATTCTAATGGAAAGTAATGGGGCTTCCCTGGTGGCTCAGCTGGAAAGTAATGAAAAGAATTCTAGGAGATCTAATGTTTTTATTTTTGTCCTTTTGCCAATAGTTTAATATTTCCTGGAGTGAGACTAGGCGCAGATAGTCAATTCAGTGATTTTCTTGATGGATTGGGACCAGCCCAGCTTGTTGGCCGCCAGACCCTTGCTACCCCTGCAATGGGTAAGAATAATTTTTCCTGAAAGAAAATGAGTGTTTCATGGTTGACAAGATTATTTAAAGTAGCATAATAGCATTGATAATACAAGTGAGAAGAACATTTTATCTCAAGTATTGCTGGTTTCAAATGACTATTCTAAGTTTTAATGCATTTTTCTAACTTGATACATATTTCTAATGCATTTTCCTAACTTTGCTGACAAAGGAAGGTCTGTATAGTCAAAGCTGTGGCTTTCCAGTGGTCATGTATGAATGTGAGAGCTGGAACGTAAAAAACATTGAGCACCGAAAATTAATGCCTTCAGACTGTGGTACTGGAGAAGACTCGTGAGAGTCCCTTGGATATCTAGGAGATCAAACCAGTCCATCTGAAAGGAAATCAACCTTGGATATTCATTGGAAGGACTGGGGCTGAAGCTGAAGGTCCAGTACTTTGGCCATCTGATGTGAAGAGCCAACTCACTGGAAAAGATCTGATTCTGGGAAAGATAGAGGGCAAGAGGAGAAGGGGTGACAGAGGATGAGATGGTTGGATGGCATCACCGACTCAGTGGATATGAATTTGAACAAGCTCAGGCAGGTAGTGAAGGACAGGGAAGCCTGGCATGCTGCAGTTAGTTCAGGGCTCTCAGAGTCAAACACGACTACATAACAGCAACAGCTTGACACATAATGTAAAATGAATAAAGTTAGTCACCTCTCTGAATTATCAAAATTCTGTCAATGTAATGTCTACAGTATATCCAAATGTCAGAGAAGGGTAGCATTTTATAGCATGGAAAAATCAATACATTAGTCAATCAAGAATGTTGGTGTGAGTGTGTTATTATGCAAAAAAATTAATGAAATTGCCTCCCTACTTCAGAACTCAAAAAAGTAGTGTTTTGGAGTCAATTGTAAAAGAGAAACAGGAGGTAAAGAAAGACACTAACAAATACTGAAGAACACTTTAATGTTTCTCTACTCTTGGAGTGGGAAAGAAGTTCCAAACCAAAGCCAGATAAATCAAAAAACTTCCACTAGCAAAAATACCATAAATGAAGATTATAAAAGGTGACAAATGTAGAGAATTATATGTAACATGTGCAATAAATATCTTCCTGAAAGGTATGAGATTCTAGCTTGAAAGGACCCACAGAGTAGTCAGCAAATTCATGAGAATATTTCAAATACAAAAACAATATTATGTCATTTTACAGTACCAGAGATCGATAGAAAATCCCACAACTTTCCTAAGAGGAAAAATAATTGTATCCAAACTATTAAAAATCTGATTCTCACTGGACTCTTCAGTAATAATAGTGGAATCCAGAAGATGAGCATTGTCTTCAAAATTCTGATTAACAATTGATTTCCAACATCGAGTACAATAGCCAGCCAAGTCATCTAGTAAATTTGAGGCTAGAATTAATATATGTTCAGACCAAAAGGGCCTCAAAACATTTTTCTTATACCCAGCATCATTCAGAAACCTATTAGAGGACATGCCTCAACAAAATGAACTAAGTGAACTTAAAAATTGTGGACTAAAAAGGAGGAACATGAAATTCAGTAAATTAATGCTTCCGTACAAGAGAGTAATGGATGGGATGCCCAGAATGGTAGTGAAGGAAAATCTAAGAAAACAGCTACTGCTTTAAAAGCAACCTGTTCAAATTGTAGCCTTTCAGATTCATAAGCTAAATCTATAGAAAACCTAGTGTGTTTGATTTTTTAGAAGAACTGAACAAGCAGGACAGAGTGAGATATTTTAATTAACATAAAAATACATAAAAATGTAAGCAAGTACTTTTTAAAACACACTTAGTGGGGGTAGAGAAAAGGAAAAGTGTCCCAGAAATGAGAAGTAATCACAATATTCCATTGTACTTAACTACAAGTAATATTGCATAATCATAATATAAATAATAATACTGGGAGAACAGCATGACAGAAAATGTCAAGTGTGTACTGGGGATAGGAAGACAGAGAAAGCAAAATCAGAGGTCAGTAATAATATCTATTACTGAAAAAAGGAAGGTATCTTATGAATATGATATTCAGTGATAGGGATGCAAATGCCAAAAGGTAAAAAAAAGTAAGTTAAAATATTGCAAATTTTGAAAGCGGTGACTTTTGAAAGGGAAGTAGAGAGAGAGAGACTGGGAATATTTTATACTGATAATAAGGCTTAGAGAACAGTTTGACTCTTTAAACAGTGTGTGTATGTGATTAAAAGGAAAAAGCCTGAAAATCCCTAGGAGCTGAGGTTTGAAACAAGAATTATTATAGAACTAATGAACAATCCAGAACCACAACACTGATAAATGGATGAGGCAAATAAGAAGAATTTACAACTGAATTGTTTCTCACAACTGAGAAAGTAGAGATGATTCAACTAACTAAAACCAACTGAGAAATAATTATATTTAATATATTGGAGGATAAACTATCATATCATTCAGAAAAAGTTTGGCATCTTCTAAAAATGGATAAAGGGCATGAACAAGCAATACAAAAGAAGAAATAAAAATTGAAAATATTTACAAATATGTTCAACCTCCCTAATAATCAAAGAAATGCTAATTATAACTTATGGAACGTCAGATTGGCAAAAAAGTAGACATATTGTTCTTAATGATATTAGTGGGCTGTGGAAATGGGAAGACAGATTTTTCTGATCACAGTGTACCTTTCTGAAGGACAGTTGGCAGTATGCATGAAATTATTGAATGTCCCTTCAATTAGACCTAATGATTACAAATCTGGGAATTTATGTTTAAGAAATAATTGATCATGGGTGTAAAAATTCTTCATAGAGGTATTCTTTCTAGTGTTTTTTAATGGCAACAATGTAGATAAGCTATATTTCCATCCACAGGGATCTGGTTAAATAGGTAATGACATTCCCATTCCATGGTTCATACAGTCAGTAAATTGAGGGTGTATGGTCATGAAAGATGTTAGATAAATAGATAGAGGCAGATGGATAAATTGATGTATAGATAGAATGATGGAGAGAGAAAGATGGATTAATAGATAATAGATGAGATAGACTCATAACCAAAGAAAGAAAGATAGGAGTGAAGGAAGGAACTAACAAATTGTGAAATTGCTAAGGTATTTATCAAGATATTAATGGAGATTTTTGCTAAATAATGGAAATGCAGATAATTATACTTTTTATTAAGTGTTTTATATATTCAACATAAAGGATAAGAAACCTTAGAGTACAGAATTTCTTAAATACTTCAGTGTTGTTACAGTTAAGCAATTTATAAGCTAATATGAGACTCTCATAAGTTGAATGAGTACCAGAAAAATGAAGAGAAACATTTCAAAACCTGATTTGGAGGCAGGGAAAAAAAGTGGGGTTGTGGACTCTAAGTATTAGTTTTTCATGAAGATCATGAGGATCATAATTGGACTCTATTATGACCTATTGTTTTTTAACTGAATGTGACTGCAAAGAAGCTGACACATTTTGCTTCTGCTGGCAGGTGACATACAGATTGGAATGGAGGATAAAAAGGGCCAGTTAGAAGTTGAAGTGATTAGAGCACGAAGCCTCACGCAGAAACCCGGCTCCAAATCCACACCTGGTAAGATGCAGAACTAGCTGTTCATATGAGAGTCTTCCGTGGGCAGCAGCTCAAAACGTGTTGTATTTGAATTTCATATGCTCTGTGTTGCATTATCTCTCCTTTGTATAAAAGTGGATCTGAGTTTTCCTTGCACAGTTATTCTGTTGAAAGTATTAGTTATGATGACTTCTTAGCTCGTGTCAATTATTTTTGTCTGCCTATTTACAAAGGCAGCATAAAAAGTCAGTTCTAATCGTAACAAGGATGAGCTTTTAGATAGAAAATGAGCTTTAAAATATAAGCCTATGTTGTATTGCCAGCCATAAGCCAAATAAGTCAGAATTTTATTATAACTTTGCACAGTTGAAATGAGGAAAATTATGTTAGTAGGAGCATGTGGGTTTTAAGGGGTAGCATTCATGGAGCACTGAAAACTTTAAATGATTTAAATAATCAATGGAAAGCTTTTAGTAAGTATCTCTACTTCTCTAAGGAAGCATTTGCTAATAAAATCAATTTAATTTGAAGGATTAACTTTTTATCTGTTAATGTTACCTTTGTTCAGCTCCTTATGTCAAAGTGTATCTTCTGGAGAATGGAGCCTGCATAGCCAAGAAGAAGACAAGAATTGCACGAAAGACCCTTGACCCTTTGTATCAACAGTCCCTGGTTTTTGATGAAAGTCCACAGGGTAAAGTCCTTCAGGTCAGTCATAGCTGGTTTGTCTGTTTACACTGTAACAGCCTATTGTCCGCATCAACACTGAAGAGGTGGGCAAACAGGAAGATGATAAATTCCAAATTGTTGATTTGCAATATAAGTGACATGTAGTTGTAAAATATCTCTTAGTTCCAATGGAGAACAAGATATTTATTTTCACTCTCCTTTTCTCCCTTCTCTTCATCCTCTCCTTATACTTTTGCCCTACTTCCCACCCCTTGCATCTTCTAGATGATAGATAGGTAGACCAGATGGTTAGACTAGATGGATAGAAAGATGGATAGGTAGGTAGACAAGACAGATAGATAAATAAATAAATAGACTAGATAGATGGAAAAATGTATGTATGGATGGGTAGATAGGGAGATGGATAGATAGATAATTAGGGCAACCAATGTTAATAATAGTTTGTTGAGCGAGACATGATGCAGAGGAAGAAAGGAAAGGAAGCACATATTCATGACTGGCTGAGTGTCATTTTCACTGTTAGTTGTGTCCACATGTCACCGTTTCTAAATATTTTGACCACCATTGCCCTGCCCCCAGCTTTTTTTGGCTTTTCATTTGCATTTCTGTAGCTACTAATAAGATTAAACAAATTGTTCATATGTAAATGACCATTTGAATTTTCTCTTATGTGAAAAATTAAGCATTTTACCTGATACTCTTTTTAGCTTGTAGAAGTTTTTTTTGGTTGGTTGGTTGGTTGGTTGGTTTTTTTTGTTTGTTTGTTTAAGCTATTCTGGTATTTTGTCATTTACTTGAATTGCACACACATTTGTCCTACTGTGGCTTTTCTTTCACCAAACTCTTTACATCTTTTGATGAACAGAAGTTCTCAATTTAAATATACTTTTTTAAAAAACCACTTTTGTATTGTTTATGATTTTTTTTCTGACTTGGTTTTGAAAAATCCTTCTTTATACCTTATTTATTAGGTATAATCCTTCTTTATTTTTATCCTTCTTTATAAATATATATGGTATATATAACCCAAAGGTTATAGATATATTGTTTTCATAGAGTTTTATTATTTTGGTTTATGTTGTGAAGTAGGGCCCAATTTTATTTTTTTCCCCTTTTATATGATCATTTGTCCAGAAATTATTTCTTGAAAAGTCCTTCTTTTATACCTGTTTTTATAATATCACCTCAGTCATAGGTCATTTCACTATCTGCATTGTCCCCTTTTGAAAGATTATGTCTGAGGAATACAGGCATTAAATAATTTGCCAAGGTTACTCAGTAAATTGAAAAGCTGAGATTCGCCTCCCCCGCCTCTGTAAAACAGGTGAGTGAGTTCATTTGGGAACCTCCACAGAGCCTGGAGTAAGTGTAATGGGAATCTTACCTGACACCAAAAGAATTGGTTTTGGTGTCAGATTGTTCTGTCAGTTCACTGACTTATTAATCTTCTGATCAGGTCAGAACTGTCAGGCAAGTCCTCAAAAGGCACCAGCTTATAATTATTGTGCAGCCTGTCCCTTCAGTAACAAGTCTATAACATAAAAGAAATGTAATGAATATTCTCATCCTTTATACACATTCCTCCATGCACACATGCTGTGGTACCGGAAGTTGGGTTATCTTGCCCTCCGAGCTTGCACAAAATTTAATTTGTATATATCTCTGTGGTCCTGCACATTGCTCACTAGATAGTAGTTGCTAAAGAAGGTTTTGAATTGATAAGTAAATAAGCTTGCCTGTTTGTTTTTAACATGGTTTATATAGACAATACCCCTCATGGACTAGGGAAATATTATATGTATTCCATCAAATCAAAAAATCATGATGAAGTGTCTGAGAGTACCTGAATATTTTTAATTATTAAGTCTCCTTGATCTTAGTTATATTCACTTCATGTCCTTCCCTGTCTGGCTCAGTTTAACAGACCAATTTGCTCTCAACTCTTCACATGTGCAGGAGAGGAACTCAAGTTCACTTCACTTCTCTTTTTCTGCAGGTGATTGTCTGGGGGGACTACGGCAGGATGGACCACAAATGCTTCATGGGGGTGGCTCAGATCTTGTTGGAGGAACTTGATCTTTCCAGCATGGTCATCGGCTGGTACAAGCTGTTCCCACCATCATCACTGGTTGACCCCACGCTCACCCCTCTCACCCGCCGGGCTTCCCAGTCATCTCTAGAAAGTTCCACTGGGCCCCCCTGCATCCGGTCCTAATGAACTCACACCAGTAAGACTCTACCTTCAGGATAGTAATCTGAACCAGATAGTTCATGAGCATTGTTGGAGACAGACAATCAACCTGTGTTTTGCCTGTAGTCATTTTTCAATAATATGTCCCAATCGTTGTTTAAAAACCTGGCTTCACATGACAGAACAAGGCAGTCTATCAAATACAGGAAGAGTCAACGTGCTAGAGAATCACTGATGCTTCTAACAAATGAAAGAGAGGAAACTGCAAATTCACACACACGCGCGCACATGCACACACCAAACTGAACAAACTGGAAATTGTCACTCTTGTGAAAAGCTGTATTTTATGTGTTTTTTGCACAAACCACAAGGAGTGTTATTTCCCCGGTGTTTAAGTTTTGTTTGTGTGTTATTTGTTGATTTCAGTTGATTTCCTATTTGTTTTGATTTGATTCAGTTTTCACTGCATTTGTTGTTTCTACTCGTTTTCAGCTGTGCATGACAGGGCTCGTGATGTTTACAGAGACCCTTCCTTTCTTTTTCCAAAAGCACCAAAAAAAAAAGGGCTGAAGCAGTCTCTGTAGCATCTCTGCAGAGTGTGCACCATGAGACAAAGTGAGGCCAATGCAGGGCTTCACTGACTTTTGCTTTATGATTCTTCAAGTTCTTATGTGTAGAAACCCAGAAAATGAAAGTTATCTTCCAAAAACAAATAATCACAGAATCACTTTTTTGAATGGAGCTCATGTCTGTCTGTGTTCTAAAACATTAATTTATGTTTTCCATTGTTTTGCATGGAAGACCTTTACAGAACTGAGTCTGCAGCGAATGCTGGGAACTAACTTAAATGCATCGTTGTACCTTGGAAACACTCCTTGTTATGCCTTTTCCTTCCTGACATCCAAAATAAAAGCAAGTATATGCTCATGTGTACAAACCATATGTTTGACTTCCCAAAATGGTGACTAGACATGGAGTTGCGCCTCAGACACTTTGAATGATGCCCAGGCTCCTTGGCCACATCTCAGTGTAGACTTGGTACCAGTCCTGGCAAGAACATGGTATGGGCTATTAATATTCCACTGGAAATTTCATTTGAAATATTCCACACTAAACTAATGATTTTTATCAAATTTTAGTTTACATTTCGTTGAAATTGATGCAAGCACAAGGCTTGTTTTTTTAATGCAAAGTATCTTACTTTGGGGTGGGGGAAATAAAACAAAGTCCAATTCAATTTGCATTTTCTTCATCTGAGTTTTTCTTGGCCTTGAATTCCCTTGTGACCTTCTGTATCTGTGCTAACAACTGCAGGCTCTGCAGGTGCATAAAGACCTTGTCCCTCCTTTTATGAGTCCCTCCACTTTTGTGACTCCACAAATAGAGCAGCATGACTTGGAACTGTTCAAAGCTGCATGCACGTTTTATTTAAAAAAAAAAAAAAGGATAAAGAAAAAAAAGAAAGGAAAAAAGAAAAGAAACAAAAGGTTATTTAATAATGTATGTTAGTTCCACATAGGCCAGCTTGTATGTTGCATGTACTTGTACAGTTTGCTTGTTAATTACTCTACTGAAATAACCAAGAAATCTAAGCCATCCATTTTTGTTACAGACATTTTGCAAGTTTTAGCCAGACTCCATCTGTGAGCCTGAGGTGAAATGTCTATAGATGGACTTTATTTTTTACCCTCTGGAAAACGTGATGTAGTATGGACCAAATTCCTTCTAATAAATATTTTGGTGTAGATTCCTCCTGTGGGGCTGTAACACATGTAGACACTGTGTAACATAGGTTTTAATCCATAGACATACTGCCTGCACCAAGTGAATTATTTATTATTTACACACGCCAGAATGACCTGCCCACTGTTCCCAGGGCACAGATTGACCATGGGTCACCATGCTGAGCAGGAAGGACTGAAGCATTGGTGTACTTCTGCTAGATACCGTTCTGTCTTAGTGGCCAATGATCAACTGATTCTAATTGGGTAGTATCTTTCTATTTGACCACTTGTCTTAACACTTCCCTGTGCTTTTAAATGAACTTCCAACTCATGTATGTAAACATGTTTAATAAAATTTACTTTTCATGTCAGTCTACAGCCATCTGTGTTCTATGTTGTGCCAGATATTCATTGTGGGTTTCACTGGGCAAGATGGGAGCTGGATTGCGGGAAGGGAGGTGGGATTTGTCATCTGCTGGGGGCACTTGACCTGTCACTGCACCATGTGTGTCTTCATCTCCAGCCCAAAAGGGTACTTTGCATCACATAAAATTTTTTACTCTGTCAGCCTGTCTAAGTGAGCACATGAGTTTGCTTCTGAAAAGTGGCATTACTGAAAACAATAAATCTCAGTAAGAATCAAACGGAAGATTGTTTTTCTGCTGCTCTTTAAGTGTACTGTTGTCCAATTGCCAAGTCATTTCAAGCATGTGATATGTCAAAATATCAATTCGTGCATCTTTCACCAGAGTGTCTGGTTCCTCTTTCCATTGGTTCCTCTGGACCCGTGATTGATTCATAAAAAATTGCCTTAGCGTTGGTCAACTTAAACCAAACAATATGTTATATCATCTCCAAGAAAATCTTAGAGAATAAAATATATCTTCAAATAAATAGGTGAGTCTCCAAAAGTAGTATGTTACATAAAATTTGTTGGCTTTATTGCTTCAACTTTATGACATTTTCTTTTCTTCTCCAAAAGTGTATTCATATGTGATGCCAAACCTAGCCTCTGTACACCAACAATGAATTAAAATTTGGAGATAAGAGTTTTGGGTGAAGAAGAAAACATATCTTTATTGCTTTACTAGGCAAAGGGGGACAGGGTGGGCTCATGCCCTCAAAACTGTGTCCTGTCCTGCAGGGCATAGTGAGGAGTATTCAAGTGTTCAAGAAGCAGAGCATGATCAGCCTATGGCCAATGTTCTGATTCATTGGTGGTGAGGGAAGAGGGAGTCAGGATTATCAACCTTCCGGTTCCAGCTGGTCTGAGGTCTTTGTGCTTGTGGGCAGGGTACAGTTAACTTCTCCTACCTGGTGGGAGTTTCAGTATCTGCAAGACAGCTCAAAGATACTGTTATGTGTATCACTTGAGGCCAAATCAGAACCCTGCCCTAAAGCTGCACTATTGTTTCTTGTCTGCTCCTCCCTAGTCTCCACATCCCCTCCCTTCCCTGGTTAGTAATTGTTTGAACCTGACCTTTGGAGCTCTGGGAAGGTCATGTAGGCTGAATGAAGCCTATTTCCTACCATTAACCAGGGACACAGAAAGACTTTTGTGTCCAGGAGCCCCACAGAATTACTTTCAGTTCCATATATTTCATCATTGTCACCCTCACAACACTTGGTGAGCATCATTTTCATGTTGCATTGCTGTAAGATAATTGCTGCAATCTAGTCTCCACCTTCTAGGAGCGCTTAAAATTTTACAGAACACACTGGCTTTAACTTTGTAAATCAGAGTAAACACAACTAAATCAAAATCAAATTGGAGACAATCAGTTGTTTAGAGTGTTTTAAACAGTTGACTGAATTTTACCCTACTGAGTCAGCCAGTTGTTTGGTCTACAAGACATGAAATTATCTCTGAGACTGGGTCAACAGGAGACAAAAACAACTGATCAGTTCATTTCACAACAAACTGTCAGAGCACAGCTGGCTAATGGCCCTACAGCACATCACTTGGGGTGGAAGGGGGCACTTCTGCCACTGAAAGAGGATGCAGCTGAATGTGGTTCAAGAACTCTTTGTCTGGACAGGCACAGAAGCAGAAATCAATCTTGAAGTCATATAGGATTGCATGGTGTTATGATTTCAGGGCCTGCATGATGGAGCGGAATTAACTAGAAGGGTGACCATTTTGCTAAATCGTCAGGATTTCTTGCTGACTCTGACAAGTTAATTTCTGGACATCTCAGCCTGAAATATGTGATCTGATTTTACTTAACCAACAGTGTTAAGAACTTTGTTGGGTACTAGATTTTAAGTACTTGGGATATAAAAGCAAAACAGATACTAGCTTCAAGGAACCCATGTCTACTGAGAGTAATCATTACCTAAAGAAATAATTGCAATGATACATGTTTGATTTGCATGCAAAGGGCTATGGGTTGCAGTTAATTTTCCCAATATCCTGTGAGTTAAGTACTCTTATGACTCCTACATCCCATAAAGTATCTGCAGCGTGGAGCAGCTAAGCTGCAGGTCAAAGTTGCAGTGCAGGTTTAGTGATGGAGCTCAATACCCACCAAGGTCTTGCTGTCTTCAGAGCCTGCCTGCTTAGCACTCAGCATCTTCCCTCAGCACTCGCAGCTGAGCTCAACCTTCACATACAAGGAGTCCACAAAATGGGAAAGAACTCCAACCAAAATCCATCTCTCCACTCAAGGCAAGGATAAAGCAATGCACAAAGTAGTCTTTGACTGAGCCCCAGACTGGTCCTTGGGTTTCAAGGCAACGTTGTCTTGGGTTTCCCTCCCCATCTGTCCTCAGACGCAATGTAATAACTGTAGTTCTTACAGTTCTTCATCAGTCACAAAATTTTGCATCTTAGGGTTGAATCCACCCATGAAGCTGTTGGGTCTTCCCTGAGTCATCTCATGCACTCTCTTAAGTTATTTGCTTCCAAAGCACATTCAGTGATCATCATTGAGATGTAGAGTGCCCTCTCCCCAGAAGCTCCCAGAGGTCATCCCTCCACTCTGCAGCCCCCAACACTTGACTTGTACTGCCACCCTGATTCCCCTCCAAAACTTCTCAACAGGGCACAAGAGATGCGAAGTCTTCACATCTGAGTGCAAAGCAGATGTTAGCAAATCACGGGCACCAAGTGATGACGTTTTTAGTAGTTGGTCCCATGCAGGTTACTCTAAGCTCATATCTTGGGACAAAGTCTTAGAAGTCATGTTTTTGATTATTTTGTTTTGTTTGAATCACCACAAAGAGATGCTGTGAGGTCACAGTATCCAATTACTATCCAAATTTGTTTCTTTCTCCTGTCATCTTCCAAAATGTGAAATGTTAGCACCCACACACACCCGCCACACATGTGTGTGAGATGATCTCTCATACTGTGGATTAGGTCTTCACCATCAGGAGAACCTTTCGATACTACCTAGATCCATCAGTTTATCCCTTCCTAAAATGGTCTTTTCAGTCCTGCCTCCAATACCTCACCTACTGTTCATTCATCACTCTAATGGAAGGCTGCCAGATCAAAACAAAACATACCCATATTCATTTGAATTTTATATAAACAATGAGTAATTAAAAATCCTCTTAAAGTTAGTTTTATCAGCCATTCAAAGTCAACTTGGCATCCTGTGTTTTTACTGGCTAAATATGGCCATTCCATCCCTGTGGTGGGTGGTTTGTGCCCCTACCACTTTGCTTAAATGCAGACACATCCAACAGCATTTTCTCAGCATAGTTACTGACCCCTCCTCTGCATCTCCTATTGAGAACTTCCTTCTTGAAAGTTTTTCTCTCCTCTACTTATTGTTCTCATCCTCCACCTTGAAGACTGGATTATGTGTCCAATTCCTCACTCCTTCTGAAAAGATCACAGTCTCAGACCTGTTGCCATGTTATTTTGCACCCCTCACAATACAGCAGGATGAGAATCTACATCTCTTTGCCACTGACTTGGGACTGGCCAGGTAACTAGCTTATTTTTTTTAATGTATTTTATTGAAGTATAGTTGATTTATGATGTTGTGTTAATTTCTGTTGTATAGAAAAGTGATTCAGTTTTACATATATAGATATATAGGCTCAGATATAGTAGTAGTGGTATTTGTTGCTCTGTCATATCTGACTCTTTGTAGCCCATGGACTGTAGCCCATGGGGCTCCTCTGTCCATGGGATCCTCCAGGCAAGGATACCGAGTGGGTTGCCATTCCCTTCTCCAGGGGATCTTCCCAAGCCAGGAATCAAACCGAGCTCTCCTGCGTTGCAGGCAGATT